TGGGAAAACGAGAAATTGTGTGGTAGTTTAGCAAACGGTCACGAATCGCACAAAAAATATAATAAGGTTTAGCTGTTAATAAATTAAACAAATCAATAAAGAACAACAGTTAACGTGGCTCAATGTATTCCATACGATTGTGGTAATAAAACACGAACCTTGACATCGTAATTTTCTTTCTGCTTCTTTTTCAGTTGTTTATTTTCTTATTTACTTATACAAATTTCAAAACTGTAGATGTTCAGCCTAAATGTAGCTTTTAAAGAGGCTGTTTATTAGCATCAAATTATCACACAGAAATATAAAAAATATTAAAGACTACTTTACATATATACTCACACAAGCCCACTTGTTACTCACAAGCGTTAACGTTAGCGGTTTTCAATGCTCATTACGATTCTCTGAGTATTCCCTCTAGTTGCCTTTTTCGTTGTAAATGGTATTAATAGATGTTAAAACGTTAAGTTAACCTGCTAATATTGCCACAGGTAGTACGTAAACGACTGTCGTCACTGCCCCCTCTCAAGTTGCGTGTCTCTGCCGCAGTTCGACCAAAATTTTAATTTCTTCTACATTGTGCATGGCTTCCTCGTTTTCTTTTTCCGTTGGTCGTTCGAAATTCTTCCATAACCGTGATGACCGTGCGACGACCTTTATTCATATTAATTTCCGCCTGCGTTCCTTATCTCGACCTTTTTCTCAATTCGCCTTTAATAATTCCATCCATCCTCCATGATATTTTAGATTTTCGTCGCAAAAAACTGTCGTGAATTTAAACGTCTCTAGATTTGAATGATCATTTCTATTTACAATTAATTACCATCGGTCTCACTTGCGTGTGCAGGGCTGCAAATTACTGTCGGACATCGGACAATATCCGACTGATAATTTTTTGGCCTCCATGCACTAAGTAATGGGGTAACAGCAATATTTATAACAGTATTTTTCGGATATACAGTACACACTTTATAATATGAACATAGTCATAGATAATTCCATAAACCACGGAATAAACAGCGGCATAAACCACGGCATAAACACTGATATCACCCTCAGTTCTGATATGCATATGCAGACGTCATATATAGTCATATGTACCAACCACAGATATATTATAAACACTTACATAGTCTTAGAGTTTGATTCAGTATTATATTTCACAAAGTACTTCATTACAGTAAAGTAATTTCATTACAGTAAAGCTAATGTCACAATTAAAGCTATTTATCAAATTTATCATGCGGACTGCATTCTCTAAATGTCCTAAATGTCAAACATATACAGTATTCGTATTTGTAACATACACGCACAAACGAGTCTTTGACTTATCTTTGAGTAGGCTATTGTCGGATTATTTTACCGTAGGTTTGATAACAGGGAGGTATACTTCGACATATTTCTTGAGCATCAAGTTTCAACAGATTCTGGTTTTTCGTATCTCTGAGGATGGTTCTGAAGTTTCAGCAGTCCGAGTAGCATTGTTTACAAGCAACATTGTTTGCGATATTTCAGAAATCAAAAGATCTCTATATTTCGTTACACATCTCAGTATTAAATAAATCCTTGTAGTTTAGGATAGACACCAACAGCTAAATAACAGCCACATCGGTCGGTACTGGTGTAGAAATATATTTTCTTGTAACGTTTGCGACGTGTTGATTTCTTCGACGAGCTGTATCGGCATAATTTGTCTATTGAAATCTGATCTATCTTTGCTCACCGACATTCTGCGCACAATGAAATTTGATATTTACTATTGTGTAACATTGATAGTATTCATGACAAATAAAAAATACAATTTTGTAAATATTTCCTGCATGATTTCTGGGTTATTTCTTCTCCCACTCCTCGCTCAATGACAAAACGTACTTAGGTACCCACCCTAATTGAAATTTTTTGTTATCTCCCAGATTCTGGGAGACACGTGACCAGCCGATAGCAGGGTCTTTCCCAAGCGAGTTAACGCTCCATAGAGCGTCTTGTTTGTAAACATTTGGCTGCTTCGAGCGAGCGATTCAAAATTTGCACGTCGTTTTTAGACCGCGAGAGACATTGCGATATAATCCTTTCAATTGACCAACTAATTTTCGTATACCTTGAATACTTCGACGTATTATATAAAAACATATATATTTAAAAGTTTTTAATATTCGCAAGCTTCGCTCCTCGCCCGAAAATTTCAAACTGATCATGAATATATAATTAGGGTCAAAAGCCTACTTAGGACGTGGGGTAACGTACCACGGCCACTAAGATTCGATCTTGTTCGATTTATGGCAGGCCTCTCTCCCCGATTTTTTTTTAAAACCCATTCGCAGCCTAAAACCCATAGAGAGGCCTGCGGAGGAGGCTAGAGCTAGTAAGAACCAAAATTGTGGATCTAAAAGATGGTGGTCATTAGTTAACAAAATAACTGGTCGTGGTAATAGTGAAGTACCATTAAGCCACATTATTGATCCAAAGGTAATGAATGAGCATTTTCAAACTATTAATACAGATCCTGACTATGTTACCCCTCAACCTCTCCCTATTCCCCGTGGCACAAGAGTACCTGAATTATCCGTCCATACTGTTTGTAAACTACTATTAAATCAGAAACGAACCACCTCGGGTCCAGATGAGTTACCACATTTGTTTTGGATCACCTATGCGTATGACATTGCGCCTGTGATAAACATCATTTTTAACAGCTCAATCAAACTGGGCATTGTTCCTGACAGTTGGAAACTAGCAAACCTTTTATCTGTCCCCAAAGAATCTCCTCCTGACAGAATCAAACCAATTACGACCCATGTCGTTGACTAATATAATTGTTCGCCTTTTTGAAACAGCAATCTATACAACTGAATTAGTCCAGGTGATGGAAAATGCCATCCATAAAGATCAGTTTGCATGCATATAAAAGAGGTTATAGCTCTACAATGGCCCTAATAAAAGCGCAACATACCTGATGGAATGGTTGGATGGTAATGCTAGTATGGTACGCGTCTTCTCTTTTGATTTCAGCAAAGCTTTTGACACGGTACCGCACGAGATTTTATGCAATAAGCTGAAGAAGCTTCCTATTAGTCCCTATATTACCAATTGGATCATCAATTTCCTAACCAATAGGTATCAACGAGTCGTTGTTGATGGCGTTAAAACAGAATATTTGCCTATAAATCGTGGAGTTCCTCAAGGAACAGTATTAGGTCCAATACTGTTTTCTATAATGATTAATGATATCCGTCCTGTTCAAGCCTCAAACTTAATTGTTAAATTTGCAGATGACATAAATCTAGGGATTAAGGTCACAGATGATAGTGACGCCTCTTATATGGAAACAAACAATATTATCAACTGGGCGGAAACAAATCGCATGAAACTTAACTATAAAAAGACGTGGGAGATGGTCATTCGCGGCAAGATAACCCGGCCACTTCCTGCGCCTCTGCCTATGATTGTTCGTAAAAGTTGGTTGAAGATACTTGGTGTAACGTTTCAAGAGAATCCTTCCATGTGGGACATGCATCTAGATGAATTAATGAGTAAAGCCTGTAGCAGAATGTACATTATTCGGATTTGCAAATACTACGGGTTTTCTAGGAAAGAGCTGGATCTTCTGTTCCATAGTCTTATTTTATCAATAATAGTTTTTGGTATAGAGGTCTGGGGATGTGCGTCGTATTCTAAGTATCTTAGTCAAGTAGATAAACTTTTAAAACGTGCATATAAGTATGGATATCTTATGTATCAGGTATCGATTGTTGATATATATTAAACAATAAAGATAGAGATTTATGGGAGAAAATAACTACGGATCTCAACCATGCCCTGCAAGTTTTGCTGCCTCCTAGTCGTCAATTAGAATTACGCAATCGCGGACATGAGTATGAACTACCGAGAGTTCGAACAGAAAGGTTTAAAAGAGTGTTCGTTAATAGATGTCTTTTTAACTTCATAGGATATTTTTTAAATTAGTAATTAACTTCTTAGGAACTTCATTAAACATTATAAAAATGGTATTTTAGCTCTATTGATGAATAATATCAATACTAATTCAGAAATTAGTATAATAATTATTGATAAGTAAGTGCAAATTGTAAGCCCGCACGTTTGTTGTGAGGTGTTGCTTTTAATATTTTAATAAAGATTTATACATACATACAAATCTAGTAGGTGGGTATCTGAATCATTCCGGCAGGCTGTCGACCAATCAAAATGGTTTTTGAAGCTCATTTATGGGACAAAAAATATTAGACATGTTTGATATTTGTTGTTCACGACACGAGTGACAACAATCCTGAATACTTTCCCCGCACACTAGGATTTTTGTCGCATGTCATTGGTCACGAATGACAAGTGTGCCTACAACTTGCATCGAAGGCTTTAACGAAGGCCGGATAGCCCTATCCACTGCATGGTGACTGTTCGATAGTTGTAAAAATGCTTATAAAGCTATAAAATTACGGATATGGACCTCATAATTAATAAAAAGAAACTTTAATTTATAAATGCTTAAGTTTCATCAGGGTTAAACCATTCAACGGCTATCCATAGTTCTCTTTGGACTGAAGTGATTTATATCCTGTATAAATATTCGACTAATAATAATAATAAAGCTAATAGAATAGATGGTTTGGAAACTCATTAGAATAACAATATAACTCATTATCTGTGTTAGTCAACGTTTATTCATAAATCTGGCCTTCACGCACGTGCGTATTGTATTTTTACCCAACTAACCAATAGCAATATTTTAGGAAAGTTACCTATCCGTGAATCAAACAATGGGGTAAATTAGAAATTGCTATTGGTGGATTTGGCAAAAATACAATACACACGTGACATTGAAGGACCGTATTTATGAATAAACGTTGACTAACATAGATGAGTTGTATTGTTATTCTAACGAGTTTCCAAACCATTTATTCTATTATGGGCTATCCGGCCTTCGTACAACAAGTCCCACTTAAAAGTTCCAATAGCAATAACAAAAGATTTAATTAAACATACACCACCATAATTATATATTGTTTATAATTATACAAGAAGTGCATTGCATTACACAATTGAGGAAAATGACATTCTAAATACAGCAGTGGTTTAAAACATGCCTTTTTGACCTGAATAAGTTTATGATTATCACTGCAGTTAAATATTTGAGGTAACTAAGTGACTGTTATATCAATACAAGAAATTTCCGAACTGCGGTAAAACAAACGTTTTCTATATATAGCTAATTAAAAAAAGGATGCCCTTCGAAAATCTCAAACCTTAAACTCTAAGCGCGCAAGGTGTGATGGGTAACCTCTTACTTAAGGCCTAAAACGTGCGTATTTTCAATTGCAACTATGGCAAGACAGATAATAAGCACTTACGATGTACAACTAGCAGTGTACTAGGATTATTTGCCTAATCAAAAGCTCTAAAAAGAAGTTACCCATCACTCTTTACGCGCTTAGAGTTTAAGATTTGAGTTTGAAGGACAACCTTTTATGTCTTTTTTGAATTAGCTGTATCTTGTTCCCCTATATTCAGCAATATCTTACCTATATTCATAAAGCCTGAAATGTGCACTTTTTATAATATTCCTACTTTGGTAAAATCTTCATAAAGTGGAATTTCCGGAAACTTAAGATTTCAAATTTTTTATATCTTGTGCGCCGATACCTAAGAAGTCCGCAAAACGTATGAAATCCGAATACCAAGTCAAAAGATCACAATACCAAAATTAAAGAGCGATTTGTGACTTTGGTAAGCTAGTGCGTGAAGTATTTTAATAATTTCAACTGTAACCAGAGTATTCAGACCAGAATAAAGGTTGGCAGCCTTCAGTTGCTGCGAATTGAAGTTTGCTTTTCAGATTTTTATAAAATAAATCAAACCGAACTTGCAAGTCTAACCTCAACCCTATACCTAAAGGCCCTGTCACGCTATTGCGTATCGTACTAGCGTATGCCAGCGTATGAAAAATATCACTCATACGCCGGTATACGCTGGCATACGCCAGGGGTACGTTAGGCATAGGTTGTATACGTTTCAAGTACGGTGGCATACGCTGGCATACGGCGAGGAAGAAAATTTTTTTTAAGCATGTTCAGAAATTTTGTGCGTATCGGACGTATGCTTTATACGATAAGCATACTCTAGGCACACGCTGAATACGCTAGAGGTACGCCAGATGTACGGTACTCATACGCTGGCATTTCAAAGGATTTTTGTGCGTATGAAAATTATTTCATTAATTTTCATACGTTTCTCTCATACGCAATAGTGTGACAGGGCCTTAACTCCAGAAAGTCAAAATTAAGAATATGCGAAAAAGAACGAGAAAGACTTGCAGGCATTCGAACCCACGACGTATGAACTCGTACGTACACACGCCGTTATCTCTACGCCACTGCGGAACTCACTGAAAGCACTTGTAAAAAATTTATTTAATCTTGAGTCAAGGCATGGTTACAAGGCAAAGTAAAAAAGTATTACTTTGCGTGAGCGAACCATACCACATGTCCATAATATAATCAATAAAGTTTGATCAGTACATTGTTTCGTACTATCTAAACAAATTACTATTGTTATACGTTGACTTCCATTTTTATTGTTATAAGCGTTATAAGCTGACTTCCATTTTTATTGTCACACTAAACCTCGCATTTCTAGATCAGTGCATGGTTAAACTAAGGTAATTCCTCGTATATGGATTCTTTAGTAGCGTCATTCCCAGACATCACAGTGACATAACCTTCTCCCGCATCAACTCCAGATTTGTTCCTCAACGAAGTGTACCGTTCGTCATTTTTATCTACTCTTCCCAGCACACTATAATCTCCTGCATCAGTGGCACTACCCTGTTTGTCTTTGTGTATTAAAGTTTGATAATTTGCATCAATGGGAACTCTCTTGGAACTGTCAAGTTGTGCATAGTCTGATGGTTCTTCATAACCACCAACAGAATAAGGTACTTGGGGCAGTTTTCTTCTGTGCGGTTGTGCGTCACCTTCATAAGCCGCATTCTGAATATTGCCAATGTCTTCTCTTTTCTGCCTCTCAGGCTTTCTTCGATAGAAAAACCAAGCGACTATCAAAATTACCATTACGATGATAACCATCGCTGCGACCACGACTCCGATAATGACGCCGATATTGCTGTCTGATGATGACGATGGCGTGGATGAACCTGGATTGAGCGCTTCACAAATACAAAGAAACTTGTTATACTATTTGCACAAATGATGTTCCGTGTCTAATAAATAAGCAAAACAAGTTCCGAAAAATGCATTTTGAAAAATTCATTGATATTTTAGAGTTGATATTTTATTTAAATTAAATTAAATCTAAAGAGCAACATTTATAGCGTGGGGGATTAGTGTCTGCACCCACATGGTATCGCGGGATTTTGTTATTGTTTTGTCTTACCCAAAATCAACAAATAACAATAAAAGTACCTTGTTTGGTACATTTCCAATAAGAATCAAGTATTCTCAAAGGACGGTCTAGATATACGACAGATCACAAAAAGCTCTTCCAGATTACTCGGCCCATAAAATGGCCGCCAGCGGGAAGTTCAGCCCTCGATACTATAGGGTCAAACTAAATCCTTTAAAGATCTGTTTTTCAGAAGTTTACATGAAATTTGTTGTCATCTTACGTTTGCGCAAAAAAGCGATTTATAATTTACGAATTCCCGCGATATTCACGTAATTCGGATTTTATTTGCTTGCCTATCCCAATTCAATCGCAAATCCATCAGAATTCATTGGATTTTTAAACTTTTAACATTGTGGGACATTCCGTTAGAAATTAAATTCACTTGAATAGCGTAAATACTAGACATATACTTTATTTAATACAAAACATAACAATTATAGTGCCAGCTTGTATGCATAAACAATCTCTTAATAATATCCATTGTGCTTTTTGCACTCGGAGGTCGAAAGTTTTGACCTTCAGAGAACAACCTTAACTGAATTATCTCAGCTGTATATACTGACCTGTGCACACAGTTTTCCCATTTCCTGTAAAACCAGTTTTACATGAACATGTATAGGAACCAACAGTATTTTGACACCTGGCATCGGAATGACAAACTGAGGAACTGCTACATTCGTCAAAATCTAGAGTGAAAAGGTTTACAAGTTTTACTTTGAGAAATGAACAGACGAGAAAAGTAAACAAAAATTAAAAAGTATCAGGTTTTTGATATTTTGTGTATTTTGTAACACAGTTAATGTAACTCATCGCTGCTTGGCTAGTCTCCTAATATATGACAAAAATAGCCAGCACAAATACATCGTCAGGAGTACGGACTACTTTAACGTACTATTAAGCATTATGCTTTGCAAAGCGTAGCCTCTACTTGAAAAAACAAAAACAGACAACCAAGGGTGGGTTGACTACAAAATTTTTGTAATTCGCTATAACTACAGCTACTTCAAAAATATGTAGTCAGCTACAACTACTGCTACTTTTGAACAAAGGTAGTTCGCTACTGACTACAGCTACTGCTTAAAAAATGTAGCGAACTATTTCGCTATTCTATATTTTTTAGTTTTACTGTATTTGGAGCATCCACTACTGTAGCTCAGTCTGTAATATAACCTATAACAAATCGACTTACGAGTAGCAACAGTAAACAAAAAGGGTCAAAGCAACATTTTTATAAGCACTACAGTGTTCAGGAGTGCCACTTTTCATTGCGCTAAAATAATCTTTACTCTATAAAATAATCTTTTAAGCAAGCCGCGTCTTATCATCATTCTATTCTATGAACGGTTGCTAACAATTTTAAAAAGTAGCGAATAGCGATTCGCTGTTTGAAAAGTAGTCAACTATTTGGCTACTTTTAGGCAAAATGTAGTTCGCTACAACTACAACTACTGTTTTAAAAAAGTAGTCAAAAACTACTGGCTACTTGAAAATTGTAGTTCGCTACAGTAGCGAACTACAACTACTTCGCTACTAGGGTGGGCCCTTGCAGACAACGCAAACTTTAAACACTGCATAAAGGCCTGATTTCACAAGCGCTTTCTTCACGCGAAAATTTCGCGCGAACTGAATTAGATACATGCACAGTAAAGATAAATTAGTCTTCGCGAGAAAAAATTTCGCGCGAAATTAATTAGGTACATGCACTGAACTATATAGCATGGAAGGCTGACTCGAGCTCAAAAAGTGAAGCCAAACATGGCGGAAATTGGAAGCATTCTTGCGCGTCATTCTCAGTCCCCTTACATGCGCGGTCAACAAAACTTTTGTATTTTTCTTTACTTTCCGAGTAAAAATCTGGTGAAAAACAGGCGAAATTTGAATGAAAAGTTGAATTCTGGTGTTTTGTTTGGGTTCGGTTCTAAATTTTAATTATTATTCATTTAAAAGATGCGATATTTGAGTGAAAAGAAAGCAAAATAGCGCGGGATTGTTGTTTTTGTAAATGACAAAGAGTGACAAAACAAAATACAAATGTCACTCAATCTTTCAAAATATCTGTATTGCCCCTGTTGACAAGGGTTTCACACACATAAATAACTCATTAAAATAAACAGTTTAAGTTTATAAGGCAATCAACAAAGTGATTAGTATCAAATAAAAAATAAAAAAACTAAATTTTCTTACATGTATGAAATTAAATTGGCTAAAAACTGTCTCGAAAACTGCAGTTAAAAAGCAGTTTTAGGTCAGGAAAACGGACTAAAATAAGCTAAATAATGGTGTGAAAACTGAAAAGCACCATAAAAACAAGAAAGCGAAACAACCAAAGCAAAAATAAATTCCCAATTTAAAAAAATACAGATTTTTAATATTCAAAAAAACAAAAAAAGTTTGAAATTAGTTGTTGAATTCGCAAAGAAAAATACAGATTTACTCACACATACAGTGGGAAAATGCAGTAGACAGATCGATTAGATGAAGGAAATCAGGTTTACAAGAAATAAATGAAGTTTATTTCCTTCTTTGCTCTTTTAAAATGAAGAAAAACACAACCCGAGAGTCGCGGACCGATTGGTTCCCGCCATGAAAATAGTCAAAATACATTAAAGTTGAACATGTTTGGCCGCGCGGGTAAGGAGACTGAGAATGACGCGCAAGAATGCCTTCAAAATCCGCCATCTTTGGCTTCACTTTTTGATTACGTAACTGACTGAAGTCAGCCTTCCATGTATATAGTTCACTGGGTACATGCGCAGTAAAGATAAATTAGTCTTCGCGAAATAAATTACAGTAGTTTTTACAGTAGTGTTCTATTCACAGCGAAAGCGAAAAATGTGGGAAAATTCAATTTTTAGAATAACTCATGTGCAACTATTCGTATTTCGCAGACACAATTTCTCGCGAAGAATTTCGCAGTCGCGGACTCAGACCTTTTATACGTTGAATCTTTGCATGCTATCCTTTTGTTTGTCTCATATCTCGAGTTTCAAGATGGAACTTCTACTGGAATCTGATCCATATTACAAAGTTATCGCCATGCACTCTGTGGTTTTTTATTATCTTACCAGCACAAATTATTCCTGTCCCAACATAACCAGTTTTACAAACACATGTGTACGAGCCAATGGTATTTTGACACGTAGCATCCAAATGACAAGGTGATTGTTGAGCGCATTCATCGACGTCGACAACATCTACAAAAAATTATTGCAATAGCAACGTAAATGGTACTGCACACATCAATGTAAAATACCTGAACAGGAGGGGAGGGCAAACGTTGGGCATCTTCTTTTCCATGAAAATAGTTTATTATTAAATGCCTAGCTACCGTGGGCCAGCGAAACGTGAAAAGTACATAAATATAGGCAAATACGTACAAAAAAGGTAACTGGTTCAGTTTTCATTCGGAGTAGCTATTTATAACTTATAATATGGATACAAGAAAGTGGTGTGGATAACGTCGACGTTTTGGTGTTCTAAGCTTGTAATGTCCTGGAGGAGAAAACGATGACAATTTAGCCGGTCACGTTACTGAACTTAAATTGTATGCCTTACGAAACACGACCTGAAAAGACAGTCTTGATATCACGTCTCACGAGTTTTAGAAAATACTGTGAAAAATCGAAAAGAAAAATATAAAACTTTGCTTGGGTGTTCTCCGAGGTTTCAGTAGAACATACTGTATTTAACCAGTTTCATATTATTCTGACACTGCAATAGACCAACGAAAAATTCGTTGGCTCGAGCGGGATTTGAACTCTTCAGGTATCTAGACCGTCGCTCTTCCCATTGAGCTATCGAGTCAACGGACAAGACAAGCGTTAAGTCGTCACGAAAATATTTCATGCACTTAAATTGGATAAGATTCGCTACCAATCCCCGTTGACTCGATAGCTCAATGGGTAGAGCGGCGGTCTAGATACCCGAAGATGCATGCGAGTTCAAATCCCGCTCGAGCCAACGAATTTTTCGTTGGTCTATTGCAGTGTCAGAATAATATGAAACTAGTTTTTCGTATCTCTGCATGAGGATGGTTCTGAAATACTGTATTTAAGATTTCAGTATAATGATGACATGACGTCTTGTTAGTTCTTTGCAAGTTTGCACAATGATAATAATTTTTTTTCCTGATGGATCGAAAACTTTGCTAAATAAATCAATTCAGAATCGTTATTTTCCAGTCAAATCGGAAGAGGACGTGGGCGTGGTGCCCATCACAGTAGAAACGTGTTACATGTACAGATGTCAAGGGTATATATGCACAATACAGTGCAGTCAATGTAGGGAGTGGAGTCGATAAATCTGTAAAATATATAATCTCTCCTATGACATTTTCCGCGTCGGGGGACCATTTTGAAGACTATAAACTGCATTATTACTAAATCGAAATCCAACCCAAAACACTGAAAACTTAATAATATAAAGCACCAAAGGAACTCCAGAGAATCCACGGGTATGCTCTCTAGGGCAAATGCATACATAAATACATCCGTATTTCACTCAGAAAATCGCAACAATACATTTTTACACATGCAATAGATAGTTATCATAAAATGAGTGTAGCTATCTGAAATAAAACAATGTAACAAACAGAAAATGTTGGTGAATTTTCCGTTAAATATGCCGCAAAAAGAAACAAAAAACTATTCTATACCATTGGAAAATAAATTACATCAAGAAGTGGTATGTTGACAGTTGTCAATCCTACTTTACTTTTTAACATATTTTTTGCCTCTACGAAGATCTAAATGGGGTGAACTGGATTAGTGATATTTGCATTCCTGTAACGCTTAGTGACAAAATATCTTATACCAGATAGCTAACAAACAATGTAACATCAAAATTTGGAACTGACATCACACAATTGCAGCCCATCCTTTACCTAGTCCATTAAATTGCACTAAAATTTGAATCAGAAAAACATACCACAATTCACAGTTGGTGCATCTTTGACAGCAGTGACAATCTGTAGTAGTGTAAGGTTTGTAAATGAATAACATAACTTTGTGTTCCAAACATCATCCCATTTTATCCCACTTCTCAACAGCGAGCTGATAGAATCTCCATACAAACACTGTATCTCAAACAACTGGAAACCAGTCGCCATTTCGACTGACTTTGACAAAAATACATTGTCAAGTTTTGTCAAACTCAAACCCAAATGGTTTAAAAGATTGTCAAGTCTCTCAGTTTCAAACACTATCTTTTTCATCATTGTCTTTGCCATACTATTGTTATAAAATCTATGATAGTCTTTGAAATTCGTCACCGAGAAGGAATCGTTAGTCTTGCTAAACAAACAAGAGGCAATACGATTTATATATAACTCATCAAAGGAACTTAGTTTGGTTGTTTCAACTGTCTGAAATTTGTCCGGTTTTGAAGAAATGGAAACGGTGTCTGGATTACTTTGAAGGTCGTACGAGAATGCCTCCATGACTTGCTTGAACGACTGCTGAATAACAGCGTCAATAATATCAGACCATTGGGAAGAGGGCAAAGCGGCCAGTTCAAAATCATCACGAAAATACTCAGAGTATCCAATCAAAGATGTGATATCATGAACATTATAGCGATACGATATAGTTGTTAGTAACAATTGATGAACTTCAGTAATTGTTCCTTCCATGACAGGTTTTTCTGATGCTTCGAACAATTCATTGGGAGTAAAACCATACGTTGATAATAATTCATTGAACATTGGTACGTAGTGTTTGGAAATATACGTTGATTCATTTAGTGAAATATAGTTTAGTATTATTTGAGGAACAGATATATTTATTATGTACTCTCGTGTGAGACCATAATTCCTCACAATCTCTCGAAGACGTGCCGTATCAATAATTAATCCATCCGTGTAATTCAGTTCCAAAATATTAGCTATTTCTATCCACGATTCGATACCAGTACTGCGAGTGAAAATCTTGAACACGCTAAGTTCAAATGCATCTCCAATTTCAGATTTTATTATTTGGACATGGCCAACAGAATTCGAAAGAACTAAAGCAACTGGGCAACTAAAATCTTCCAAAATCGATTTTGAGATGTTATACATGGTTCTGTCCAAAGATATTGCACCATCGCAAGAGGCATAGCTCTGTAATGGTATGAACTCTAAGGCATGCAATTGTACACTATTCCATTTATATAATATTTCCAAATCTCTGATGCTGAAATTTGTCGTGTTGTTGATGTACCTGTATAAAGGGAAACTGACCCAATTGTTCAAATCTCCAGAGCCATCTTCCGTTGTACGAGTCTGTATTGTGTCATATTCAAACGCAGATCGATCGACAATAATATTTTGATAGGGCAAAATCAGTTTTGAATCTAATTGTGCTAAATTGTAATTAAGTATGGTATCTTCATCTGGCGCTCTCACCAGTTCAGCAAACTCTGAACGTTCAACGGTTAAAATATCAGCTCTACACTGGACAGCAAACCACGCTATACGAGGAAGGAATAGCTTCCATTCTGGTAATGTGACATTGAATGATGATATACCAAGCTTGTTCTCTATGAACATCATTGTGAAACAGAAATGAAGTTCCAACGATGTCACAACAGCTTCATGTAAACGTCCTAGAGTTATTGCAGGCTTAGTTTGGCCGTTCAATTCTTCCCTGGTATAACCACTATAATATTCGATATCAGATATATTCAACGCGTAACAATCCGGTCCACACATATGCACATTTAACTGGTCTGTTTTGAGAATGGAACTTTGGTATAAGGAATTCGCCTTGGTAATGATGCTTAAAACAGTGCTATTGTATATTTCAGATACAGAAAGGTTCGTCGCTCGCCAAACATCCCAGGTAGTCACTTGGGAGAAGAATGCATTTCGTCCAGAAGGGTGATAATACGACGATGTCATGTCAAAAGGTTGCGGTAAAGCTTTCAGTGGTGTGATAAACAAAGGTATTCGTACTCCTGATCCATACGGCAGAACAACAAGATGAAGCATTCCGCATACTAACAAATATTGTAACCACATCTTTGATTCAGACGAGGTGACAAGGAACAGATCGATATTTACAAAATGCAGTACAATGTATGACAAGCAAAATATTCTTGCTAAGTCATTGCAATTTCGGCACCCACATTCGAAACGTTGGCGTTTAATCACAATTTAAAACAACATGAGGTAACGAAATGCCATGCTGGTTCAGCGCTCAGGCGTAACCACCACAATAAAAAGTAACATTTAGATAATTCCATATTTCTATACATCATTTTTTATTGCATAAATTATGTGGGCTTATATATGCAATTTCAAAACAAAAATATTGTGCAGAATTCCACTTTTACAATGATACTATTATGTCGTTGACAAATACGTTTGTCGAAAAACTGGCATATAATAATAAGATTTTAATTAAATGGCTTGTCAAGGCCAAGGAAATTATCTAAGCCATGGCAAAATCTCGTTTCAACATTTTATAAATGCATGCCGCCCCTACAAAGTGAACATAATATGTTGACGTAAAGCCACGTCATTTGCAACACTGTAAATTTCGAGGTGACAGGATATTAACACTTTTGGAGATGAATTCAACTCGTTGCCATGCATCTACAGTGTAGTCAAGTTCAATTAGCACAAGATTTGCCAAAACTGAAAACTCACGTTCACGTTATAGGAATTTATTACTTTACCGTTCTATACCGTATAATTTTACATCCCAGCCTACTGTGGCTGAATTGCGTAAAAATTACAAGTACATAGTACATACAAAATAGTTACAGATATATATCCGATACTCGATAGATAGATCTAAATCCAAAGGGTCATTTATATTATAAAATATTACAAGTTTATAAAATGTTAAAATACACAGTATGGTTCATATCTACTTCTAAAGCTACGAACAGCCTCAAAAAATTTGACGGTGGTTGCGTGCCCCGAGGTTGTGCCCAGTCGCGTATATATAATAGAATGCCCCGATTAACGAACGATCTATATATAACTGATAACAACTAAACATTGCAGATTGTCCAGTGGCATGGCTACGTCATTGTGTATCATCTTTATATTGAAACCCAACAACTTTTATCAACGGGGGCAATAGTCCTAGGAATATCGCCCCCGGGGGTGAATATTAGGAATATTGCCCCCCTTTAGGATATTCGCTGCCCATATATGCGATATGATTTATTCAAATAATTATATATATATATATATATATATATATATATATATATATATATATATATATATATATATATATATATATATATATATATATATATATATATATATGAATAATATATATACTATATGGATAACCCTGAAATTGTGAGCACTATATATAAATTTGAATCTGAATTTAATGAATTCGCCAATGATCGCCTTTGGGTATTGTTGCTAAACAAGCGCCGGAATACATTATTTATTTTATCTAAATTATATCGTTGGTAGTCATTGCGATAAACCAGCGGCGGCGGAACAGATTTCATTCTGGGGGGGGCTAAATTTTTTCGGCGACCTCCCCCCCCTCCCCCCGTCGCCAAAAAAATTTCGGTCAGTGTACCATTTTAGGGGTACAATATACAAAAAAAGGGACGAAAAAATTTTTTTCGGACTTATATCTAAAATTTTTTTTCCCAAATAGACTTTTTTTAAACAAAATATTGCAAATTTGGCCCTCATACCTAAATTTTCAAAAAATAACCTAAATTTTTCCGTAATTATCAAAATTTTTTCAAAAAATTCAAATTTTCTGGGGGGGGGGGCTAAGCCCCCCACTTTTACTTCTGGGGGGGGGGGCTTTAGCCCCCCTAGCCCACCCCTGTTCCGCCGCCCCTGCGATAAACTACGCTCGTGTTGATGTCGTATACACAGGGACGTCGCGAAGCCATCAACATTGGGGGGGGGGGGGTCATGTTTTGACCAACTTTCCTAGGATTTTGATCAAGTCGAAAAAGCAATGCTTCCGATTTTTTCACCGCAAACGTAACTAAAGCTTTAAAATTGTTAAAAGTGCGAACCATTTCATAACTTTTAACAACTTCGACCATCTTATTTCCCAAACTTTCACCAAATTTTTCCGAGTTTTACCTTCAATTTTAAGCAAATATCAGTTCCATTTTGACCAACTTTGGGCACATATCAGATAGTTCCATTTTGACCAACTTTGACCAACGTTTGAATTATTGGGGGGGGTGTTACCCCCCCCCCCCCTATAGCGACGTCCCTGCGTATACATTCGACATGTTTAAATTAAAACAAGACGCCTGCTCAGGCGTTCACACTGGCCTGAAAATAACGACATACGTGCTATGGTGCAAAAGGCAAGGATGCAAATCTCAGTAAACCGCAAGCAAATTTTATGGACTTTTTAAAAAAATAAAAGACCTTTTCGGGAGACGTAATGCTGCAAATCTATAACTGCCTTTTTGGCATATGAACTGAATGCAAAAATTTATACTCCTAGACAATTCTCGGTTATATCCCCAATATTTCCTGCACAAATTTGTTTCTCGTTCATCATTTAAGCCCGTTCATTTTAAGATACCCCGGTTTCGTGTACGGGTAGCATGATTTTAGTTAGCAATATTTTCGTCGATGTCTGTACCTTTACTCGTAATTAAGGTGCACATTTTTCGCATTATATCATTGTCTATTGCAAGAAAGCAGAAAAAGTGTGATCGAATTACAGACATCAGTAAAACAAGATGACACTACTCTGTCTACTCGTACCCGTACACCGAAACCGGGGTATCTTAACCTCTCTATTAATTAAGGTCTATTAACCTATTAGCTGCCAATGCACACTACTTTAGTATTAACTCTGGCTAACGCCACTCGACCAATTTACACTGTGTAACGCCAGACGATTTTTGCACCCTGCTTTAGTATTAAAGAGTAATTCTTCAGAATTTGCTCAGAGTCAATGTGAGTAAAATACATCTTGTATTCAAGCGCTTTCATGTACAAAGTTTCGTTTGAATACGGCACAGAGTAGGAATATTTATTTTGAATTTTTCAAAATATCGGGTTTTTACTCGCACGCACGTTTATAGCTCGATTGATGGACGTGCAAATCATGCCGTCCTTGTTTTGACTTTTGATCGCCATAAAAATCCCAAGACACAAGCTTGAAAATAACACTTTCGATTCTGGTTCCAATAATATTATTACGAAAAAGATATGTCCAAAGGGGCCGAAGTTATGTTCGGCAAAATGTATGGCCATGGCTAGTTTACATTGTTTGTTATATTATGAAATATGATACCATACTTGTATTAAAATTCGCGTCGAACTAATGTTATTGTATTAGGCAAATGAGTAGACTTGCCACAAGTCGACCTCGAACGAAATGCGTTTCTTCGAGGTCGACTTGTGGCAAGTCTAGCAAATGAGAACCATACAATAATGGTTCTAGTTCTTGTTGGTATTTTGAACGCACGCTTTATCTTTACTATAGCTACCACAAAGCTTTTCGCGCAGATTATATTTCGCGTAGACTTGCCACAAGTCGACCTCCGAAACGCAAGCACGCGCAGTACTAAAATTTCCGCACCCAGCGGCCAGCGCTACGCGAATTCTCTTATTTCTAGTACGGCGCGGATTTTAATACATGTATTTAAAGGTATATTGTCGACATTTGACTAAAACTATCGTAAGGAATTAGGAGAGTTTGTCCTTGTTTATATTCCAATATATTGTATAAATTCGCTGGGTACAAATTTATGAAATTTTGGGGTTTTCGAGTCGTTTAATTTAATACAAAAAGAAAAACATTAATTCAACAGGCAAGAAAGTCCAGAGTGCGACGCAAAAATTAACACAAGTACACAACGGATGTTATGAGTCCACGACGTATATTTAAGTCAAACTGTCAAACCTTTAACTTGTCCTTGTTTAAATATCCTTCTATATATCGTATAAATTCGCTGGGTCCAAATTTTGTGGTTTTCGAGTCGTTACACAAAGAAAAACACATTAATTCAACACGCAAGAAAGTCCAGATTACGACACAACGAACAATCCATAGGAAACCGGCACAATTCTTTGAAAATTCAACGAAACTGTGTAAAATATAGTTTGATCACTCTGTGAAAAGCCGCCATTGGGGTTCGGAATTGTGCGCGTGCGTACAAGTGTATAGGCTAATAAACGAAAAATGTACCACAAGCATGGCACGAGTCGGCTATTACGTACATAAATACGAGCTTATTACTATACTATATAAATCACGGAACCGAGGGAATCGATGGCATTTTGGCTTAATCGTTGCACCCTGAGCCTGCGATGAGCTAACGCAAACTCGATTTCTCAACTGCGAAAAAAACAGGAAAACACAGGAAAAAACAGAAAAAGAGGGATTTAAGACACTTGGCCTACAGGCCAGTGTAATTGGCCTACAGGCCAGCGTAATAA